TGATCAATTGGCGGGCGGCTTTGAATTTTATTTTAATCGATTTGGCTGAAAATCAAAGTTTGTGTAATTATCGTGGCTTGAAATAGTTAATCGCCCGCTTGCGACCAGCTGTGAAATTCTGGTCGCCAATGCAAAATTTTTAGTCGCATTGGCGACCAGGAAAGCGCAATTTCGGACCCTGTGGGGTCATGCAAAAAATAATAAAATTAAAATCAAATTAAACTTCGCTCAAAGTACATACATGATAGATGTAGCTCATCTAAAATTCGTCGAAAACTGAATTAAACTGAGAGGGATTAATTAACTAATTATCCCATTAAGCAATGTGTACATGCTAAACCCTCTACTAAATCTTCTACAGTTCCATCGATATAATTACAATCTGAAGATCTAAAATTGGCCTTTGTAACTGAAGTTTCCTTGAAGATCAACTCTTTGAAACTATCACTGAATAGAACGGATTTTCCTTCCCAGGTCCTTATAGTTTGTGTTCGCAAAACCCCTGTCTTAAATAAAATACAAAAAAAAAAAAAAAAATCCGTCTTAGGAAATGACATCATTTACAGTATTGGATCTCTGTGACTGTGTCATGGGGAAATAATAATTCAATGGTTGTTAAAATGGGATTTTTACATTGTTTGAGCATAATTTTTGTAAAATTTGTCAAATATCTTTTCTGTTCAGATCTTACACAAACAGTGACTTGCGATAAGGCAATCTATATGGTGTTTTAAGTACATAAGTTTTAATACTCACGCGTAAAGATTGTCGCTGCTGAAACTACAATTTTGAAGTCAATGAAAAAGTGTTTTCAACGCAATATTAGCGAGAGAAATATACGACGTTTCGACATCGTCGGATTTCATTGTCAAGTGAATGTAGGTTAGCTTTTGCATTATAAAAGGATCTACAATTTGCGCATATTTGTGTTGAAAACATTCCCTCAAGCCTTACTTATTCAATGAAAAAGTAGAAAAGTTTATTTCTTCTAGTTTCAATTTTTCTCTTGGCCCTAGACGAGAAACAATGCATCTTTATATAGCTTTGTATGCTGAACATACAGCCTACACATGTGTCTTTCGTTGGGTCTTGCAGACACATTTATCTTATAAACTGAGTTTAGTTAGTTTGACGGTTTCAATGAAGCCGACTCTATTCATGCCTTCTAGGTTGTCATTAGTTGCTTCTTTCAGGTTTCAAGCTGACTTTATTTATCCGTCTCTGTTTTGTTCCTAACATGATGCAATCATGTGTTTCGTTAGTACTAAGAGAGTGCTCTTATCCTCATAATACGATTTATATCTCTGCGATTTGCTTCGAAGATCTACACCCACGCGAAGTTACGAAGAATGTAAAGTCCAAGTTCTACGTGTGTTCTGATTTCCAGTTGTAGCGGATCCGACGGTACTTTGGAACCCGTGAAAAGTTCCTAACACAGCAAGCGAGTTGCTCCGAGCTAATAGACCATTTTACAGTTGTCTACTCAGTGACCTGGCCTTTGGATGGCAGCGAGGCTGGAGTTGACATTGTTTTGATACAGACCTTGCTGCTTTTGTCATGTAAATACACCTAGTTAGCATAAGAACAACTTGCTTACACAACAAAAGCAGTGAGGTTTGTATCAAAACAAGGTCAACTCCAGCCTCGCTGCCATCCAAAGTCCAGGTCACTGAGCAGACTACTGTAAAATGGTCTATTCCCCAAGCGCAGTCGTTCAGCCAGTTAGGTCTTTCAAACATTTCCCCAGTTAAAGTTCAGAGCGGAAAAACCTGTTGTCACATCTGATGGAGTTTTCACCATAGTTCGTGTTAAAGCGTGGCATTGTTAGCAAGTCATACGACTGTTCGCCAAGAATGCATGCCCTAAAGCCTTCTTTACTGCAATACTGTAGGAGTCCTGTGGGAGTCAGGCTGTCGTAAAATGCGTTATGTGTAAACTTATAGCTACGGCTCAGAGGATGCCAGTTGGCATGATCTAGCACATCTAGCGATCTCATATCCTTTGGTAAATTAAAGATTATTCTTGCGGCCCCACAATGCAGTCATTCCAAGCAATAAAAAAGATCAGCATTTGAGCACGACCTCCAAATAACAAGGCCATATGTTATTGATGGTAGTATAACTTTAAAATAAAAATTTGCAAGAGCTTCCTTTGGTAAAAAGGAACAGCGCCCAGTGGTTAGAATGTTCAATTCACGATGCGACTGCCCCCGTAATCCCAGTACTGCGTTTTTGTACAAGGCAGTTCACAATAAATATAGTGTGCCCAGCTTGCTTTACCCGGCTGATTGAATAAATACATGCAAGTATAATGTCACACCAGTTAAGGCAATGTGACAAAAACCTGTGTGAAGCAAACATAGCAGAAATACTCTTTTTTTAAAGGAGCCTTGTTGGACACATTAACCCTACAGAGACTAATGCTTCCCTGCTGAGTTCAAAAATACTGTTACAGTACAGACGTAAAAGACAACTTCTCCATGAAACGGACTAAAAACGACCATTGATTTGCCTAGGTATCTCAGCAGCATTCCTTTTCGCGAGACACCTAAAAGATATGTTACCTCTTGGCGTTGTCCAAATGCAATGGCATTCCAGTACCTTCCTCTTTTAAAAAGGTCTCGTAGTGATGTCTGTCTGCGTTTCCTAACAAAGAAGAATATCAAGACTTACAATACTTGTTGTGTCACCGATGGAAAGCTAAAACTGCAACTTAACGCCATTGCAATACCCTCAATACCCGATGTATATGTATTTCCAAACTTGCATTATAAGAATCATTCTTAGGCTTACGAGTTAGATGGGTTTTGTATAGCGTAATCAACTGAACTTCAAGGCTCCTACAGGTATTAAAACAGTGCGAGGTCAGGTCTGTACCGTAATTTCCGAACTAAACTTGATACGCTTGTATGATCTGGAGCGAAAAGCGTTTCACAGAAAGGAAAGAAAATGAGGACCAGTAAATTACGATACTGACCTAGCCAATGAGGTTGACACATGAATGCAGGAGTTGTGGGCTATATGACGTAATCGTTCAATTCGAAAGGAAATCAGGAAACTAGTCACAAGAAAATGGGATTCTTGGAATTTATGCTTAATGAGTTCCTTCTCCTTTGCTTACACAGTCCCTCTCTAAAATATCTCTGCTTTCCACGTAGACCGTATATAAAATACAAGGATTACCAACCTATTAAAAAGTCAAACAATGCTGTGTCCAAGAGATCTAGCAGACGAGGGCCAGAATCATAAGGTGACATGTTCACCACCTTCTCTTTACAGTAGTTGTTGTCTGTCTCCCACCTGCGACATTAAATTAAGGAATTAACTAAGCTGTAGGAGAACGTGGAGGGAGGGAGGGGAATAAGAACTCCTAGTATACTGAACACAATACGTGACACGGGGTACCAAGAAAACCGTGGCATTCGGAAACTGTTGCGCCGATCTCGAATCGTCTCGTTTCTGTGTGTTTCTGTCCGTCTCGGAGTCTAAAATCGTTCAAGTCACCCTTAGTCTCCAGGTCTCGGCGAGTCTCACATTTTACGACTCGTCACCTCTTTCATACACTGTGTTGATGAGATACATGTAGTGTGTACCCACGTATTTAAGGTGGACAGAGCACTTCTGAGCTGGGTTCTCCAAAGTACGATTTAAAAGCTACATGTATTCCAGGACTACAGCAAATTATGTTTCTAGTTTAGTATCTATGCATGCATGCATGCATTCATTCATTCATTCGTTCAGTAACGCTTTCTATGTATATTTTCTGTCCTATTCCATATACTTACTTTGCCTTTCTTGTATCGCTGTATGTTCTCTGCCAAGGATGTGACCACTTTGTGAGGGGCCAACCTTGCGGTAGCCATAATGTTACTGAGCCTTCCATGACTGTACCATTGGCACAAGCAGCATCTGCTTTCTTACAGTAGTAACAACGACCATAGAAACAGGTATCTCCGCCTAGACAAAAACCAATACATAATTAGAAGCTACTCCCATTACAAAGCATGTGCAGAAGGCCAAATTGTTACTTAACCCTTTAAAAATTAATATAGCCAGTAAAACTGTGTGATCTAACTCAAAAGTAACAGCAAAATTATCTCTAGCACATCCACATAACATTTCCAAACAGTAAACAATTTCTCCAAAACAAAAACTTGGCAGTTTCATTCTCTTTTCAGTCATATTTTTGTACTGATTACTACAATGTAGGTGGCTTTCTAACTTGAAAATAATTCTATCATAAAACAACGAGAGAGAAAAACTGGACATCATAACACAAAAAAGTCATAAAACAAAATGGTTTATTACCAGGTTATTTTTATTCAGTAATTTGGAAAAGGGGCTTAAGACTAAGAAAGACTAAGAACCTCGGCAGAGGCAGTGTCGGCTGAAGAGGACAGAGTAGCCTACAGACAGAGAGCCTACAATACATGTGCATGTACAGTCCAATTCACTACCTAGGAGAGTGGAGAAATGATGAATTTATTTGGAAATATAAGAATCACAAGACAATTACTGGTATATTTTGTACAGCTGCGCATTAATCAATGACATATAGTATGTACCAGAAAGTGAAACTTCTGACCCCTACTGTCGCTACTGTTGGGATAGAAAAATGCTGCTGTATTATCTGGGTACATGGATTATTTAAAGGTATTTTAAAATAAGAAAATGACTAACTAATCCTTTTTGGGGCCAAAGAAAGTAGTCATAACAACGAGGTGGTAGTTAAATTGGTGTTCTTAACTGATTAAACATTATACATGGGAATGATCAATTCTTAGGAAAAATGAATCCAACGTTTTTTAAAAACTGCGAGACTTAAAAGTCTCACTGACAACAGTATTGCTAAGTTGCCCAGGCTTTTTATTCGTCAGTATATATATCTTACCCTTTTTAAAGAAAGTGTCTAGAAGTCGCTTGTCTGCTATAGGTTCTATCTCATCTTCTAAGTTTATATTTCTTCCAACAACAGGTGGAGCTCTGTAGAACCCTAAAATTCTGCAATTATATTGTATGATTATTTTTGAGGTCACTAAAAGTACAAGAATTAAAAATTATACTTAATGTGGGCCCAAAGTTTATTTGTAAGTGACAATGTGTAATTAGCAAATACTTAAAACAGGCAGCCTGTTGCTAGGCTGGCATTAAACTTTAATTTTTGTAGCATGAAACAACTGAGAATACTTTATTTTTACATATGCATAACTGTACTTGACAGAGTTTACCCTCAGCCAAATTTGGCTGTACCATTTCATACACTTTGGTAGAGAGATGCACTGTGAAAGTAGTGTGCTATTGCCCAAGGACACAACAGAGCTTGAACCTGGACCACTCGACATGGAGATGCCTGATGGATTTGTACATATGTGTGAAGCAAAACTTGCTAAGCCAGTTGTTACAAACATAAGTTGAACTCTATGATCAGGATATGAACTTGAATAGATGCTATTAAATAAAATTTAATGTAGTTTTAACACTGAGATGCACATGTGGGTAAGAGCCAGCTGCATACTAATTGAATAAAAGCTGACAACAAGCTGAAATTTCACTCCAAAAACTAGAATGTAAGATTTTGAAGTTGCAAAGGCCAGACAAGCCAGCTGGGCTTGTTAATCACGAGTCATCTATCAGAACTATAAAATTAATTTATTTGATCAATAATGCACCTGTCCAAATGAAATGCTGCAATTTCTCCATTATGTCTGTCAAAACCAGCATACGGAGTTCCTTCCACTATGAAGTCTCTAGGATATCTGGGAAGAAGAAATGTTTTCACTTTGTCTAAGCTTATTTCAGGTATGGCTGTGACAATAAGAGTGACCTTTCCTTACAGTTAAAGTAGGTCTGTATTAAGCAAGACATGTGTATAGTCAAGACCAATGATCTAAATTATATGTGGCTAAATGTAATTTAGGCTAAAATAAACGTGAAACAAGATGCTTGCCAGCAGTCTCCCTCAGAGTGAGTTCCGGGTGGCCAGGGGATTTGTGCAGGGGGTGCCAGGATTTTACAGCTCAGCTTTGGATGTCAAATCATTCCATGTATTTTTTGCTGCTGGACAGTGCTTGTTAAGCTTTTCTCCCAGCCCACCCGTCCCCCTTTGGCTTGAGGGTAAGTATGTGGAAAGTATCCTGTGTTTCCACTGTTTTTTTAGTGTGACAGTGCCTGGTGGTTGCCACAGGGTTGTCATGGATACCCTACGAGCTCGGTTTAGTTTGCTCTCAGGCTCCACCATCCTTTCAGGCACCATTCCCCAAGCTCATCGTTTTTTGTCAAGTTTAACTTACAGAAAAATTGTACTTAGTGGAAAAATAGTGATTAGCCAGTGTTTTGTGATTTCAATCGACCAATTGATCAATCAATCAAGCAAGCAAGCAAGCAAGCAGTCAATTAATTAATCAAAACTAATTACCGAGCAATCTTTCATTATTCCAAGGCTAAGGCCATCCTCTTTTGTTTCTCCGTCTAATGTCGTAACGACATTGTTAAATCGTTTTTCTTGTTAATAATTCTGTTAAGTGTTGCCACCATCTTAGCCTGCAAACGTAGACGTATTTCCAGCTGTCACTTGGTTCCGCTGAAAAATAACGTCTGCGAACCCGAGCCAGGAAATGATTTCTGTGACATAATGACTTTTGTTTCGCCTTGGCCAATCAGATTTCATGATAGAATGAAACTCGAGTGCTCCTCGCAGCGAATACATCGCGCAGTAGTTCTGGGGTTATTTGAGCTAAACTGTGATTGGCTTAGAATCCCTACGTTGTCTTAATTTTACAATAACATCAACCAACTTTTCCACCACATTGATTTTGGTTTCATGTCTTTGTTGTTTCCTTGCTTCACAGCAATGATTCTGAGGTACCAGCCCTCCCATTCAGAGACTTCTTGTGATTTCTTTTTTTTTTAGTCTTTTTTTTTTTCAATACAACCAACTGACGCAATATCAGGAAACACATTTGACACTAAATGTAAATAATAATAAAAAATAAAACAAAGGGATGGCCTGGATACCTCTTTTTTGGTCTTACCTCTTAGGCTTGAAAACTACTCTCTGCTTTCCCTCAAGAGTTAAAGTGGCTTTCAACTGTGTGCCACGGTATCCAACGCCGGCTGCTATAACAGGTTTATACATCATGGCTTCTAATATCATATTGACTGCATCAGTGTCATCAGGAGGGGTAATTTGTCGAGATTTGACCATGTCTTTCCATATCAACCATGGGTCGTCATATTCATAGTCCACATCATTATTGGCATTCCTTGCGTTGTTGTCGTGTTTACTAACTGTGTTTTTGTGATCCTTTTCTACAAATCGCTTCTCTAACCTTGGTTTTACATGTACGTCATTAGAATCAGTGTTCGTTTTCACACTTTCCATTTCCTCGTTTGATCGCTGGACATGATGATGAGAATGATCGATTCTGTTGAAATCCGTTTCGTCCACCGGAAACTGTGAATCTTCATGAACAGAAAGTAACAGCGGGTGCTTCTTGTCCGAGACTCGCATTCGTAACCAAATAAATGGTACTATAAGAACAACTACACAGAGGCAAAACGCAAAACGCTCCTTAAACTTCATGGTACCAAAATACGCTCGATAGAAGACAGAAAATGGCCAAAGGTCCACCATGTTAGCCGAGGTCTAACATCGTGTCGCTCGATCTTTTCATATTGCTACAATTTCTACCAGGCATTAGTAATTGATGAAATTAAAATGAGCCCACGTCATCCGCAACCGGGATGGGGTAGGGTGACCAATAATAAACCAATGTCAAACTTAAACTGTTTGTACTAAATATTCTGTTTTCCCTGCCAAGTAATTTGATTTTTTTTGAAGTTTATACTCTTCAATAGAATTTCGTTTCCTCGATAAATTGTGCTATAACAGGATAGCCTTGTACCTGTGTAATTCCAGTGGACCCTAGGCAGTTATACATTGTCCCTTTTATCAGCGGTTTGCCACTGATATTGAGGATGCTGGGGACTGGCACTGGTCAATATCCTGCCCAGAGTCTCTCCGGCTGCGCGTTGGGAATCATGGCGGACAAGGTGAAGAGCATAGATGAGGTCGTTTCCACGGCAAATAGTCTAAGAGCGACTGTGAGCAAAGTTTTCCAAGATCTTGCAACTAATCCCAGTGTAAACAAGGAAACAGGGGATTCTTCCGAGACTTCTAAGGGAGGAAATATAACTCAAATACTGAAGAAAAATCTTACAAGTGTACACAAAGTCTTGAGGTGAGCACATTGAAAAGATGTTGCCAATCCTCCTAGTTAAGCAAAATAGCATTTTTTTAAATTGCAATACTACACTTTACGTACAATTTTACAAAAAAACTAAAGTTACTTACATCACTATCTACCACTACTTACAAATTACAAATTACAATACCAATCAACATTGCTTACAACACTAACAATATAACAAACTTTTTTACAGGAGTTAACTCTAAAAAAACAACGATATTACTAATAGGGCAAAAAAAAAAAAAAAATTAATAATAATACAACTAACAGATATAATACTGCTACTGCTGCTAACACACTCTTCTATCAACTGATGAAAGTAGATATGAGCGAAAAAAAAAATTTATATATATTGGGCCATGAAATACTAAGTTAAAAGCTGTTCCAAAATGTAAAGGAGAACCTAAATATCATTTAATTAAATTACCTGTTAAAACAAAAGTTCAAAGGAGAGATCAGGAAGTTATAATGACTGGAGTATTTTGTGCTACTTCTGTTGGAAAGCGTTTTGTGTTCCTGTAGTAATTGAAACATGTTTTTCTACTTTTAAATTGCATCTAACCTGATTAACGTATTCTATTGAGGATGGTTGAACATTTTTGCACTTACAAGAGTAAATGTAAAATCTACCAAGTAGTAAACATTGATTGAATAACAAGGTACTCCTCTCTCCTTGGAGACCTAAACATTGGCAAAAAGCTAAAACTTGTGAGGCTGGTATTAAATCAACAGAGAAAAAATTGTTGAACGCTATTCCAAAAGGCTTCTGTGATCGGGCATTCCCAGAAAAGATGAAACAACGTTTCTTGTGCTGTTTGACAAACACAACAAAGATTTGATTCTGAAAATTTAATTTTAAATAGAAAAGAGTTTGTAGCTATTCTCCTGTGTTGAAATCTGAACTGGAAGTTCCTTAATTTRGTGCTTAATGTACATATCCTAGGTAGTAGATAAATTGACTCCCAGTCCAAACTTTCCACATCGTCGAGTTCACAGTCTCTAATCCATTTCTTTTGGCTTTTTTCTGGGTGAGTACATTTTTCGGTGACAAGGATTTGGTAAGCTGCCTGACTTGGTTTGTTAGACGAGTTAACTTAAGCAGTACATTTTCTAGATTTTTTTCTCCTGGTAATGTCAATTTCAGAGATCTCGTAGCACTCCTGATAGCTGAGGTTACTCCACAAAATTCAAGGAACGAAACTGGAAAACTAAACTTATCTTTGAAACACCCGTAAGATATTATTCTTAAATCACTTGTCATCAGATCGTTAATTTTCATCACCCCTGCATTAGCCCAGTGTTCATAAAATATAGTCTTGCCTGTGATTCTGATCATCAAGTTATTCCAAATATGACCAGCACTGAAATTAGCTTGAGAGGTAAAGGAATTCCTATAATTTAAGTCCGTCCACAGTTCAATAAGTTCCTGGATGAAATCATCTTTTAAATGAAGTTTTTTGGCATCTTTTGGCGCCAAATTACCGAGAAAAACTAATTTCCCGCCTACCTTAGATAAATGAAAATTGAAAAAGCACTTCCATTTAGATTTGCAGTCATTTGAAATATACTTAAGTATCCATGAAATTTTCAAGGCTTTATTAAATTCTATTATGTCTAGCATCTTTTGTCCTCCATCTTGGTAATCTGCTATCATT